TATCGTCGTCTTGAAACTTGTTGCGCTACTCGAGAGGATTGCCGGATGAGGTTGGATCGTCCGGAGACTACTACAGCCAGAGTTGCTGATAACAGCATGTATCGGAAAGCTGTTCTTGGTTCAGCCCAGTTCCCTGGCGAGGCAAGGTAGATGGACGTGACCTACAATAGACACTCATGTCTCATATGCCGTGAACTTACCGAAGGTGGGACATAAATGAGGACGTGCAGATACTGATGTCACACACTTGCGAACTGCCGTGGCTGTCCATCTCAAGCCGAGGTATCGATGGTGTGGACTACCCCCTGGAACATGACAAAGCCGCGAGTCATGCTGGCACTCGAGCCGCCAAAGAACTTTGTCTTCGAAGCAAGGTTTGTGATGTCTTTCCAGCCGCTTCGCGTTTTTTGATTGCAGGGAGCATATTTGCGAGTATACTATCTACCGAAGTCTTGGGTCTCTGAATACACAGTACCGGTAAACACGACCCTAAACAAGCACCATCCTCAAAGGTCATGTCTTCAGGATTGGGGGACTGTGCTAGCAAAGTTTCATGGCCCCATGGAGCGGAAACCAGTATGGCTGGTGCCATACTGGCCATACTGTACTTGGGGGGGACCTAAAAGGGGCCCTAATTTAGAGAACTCCCCTTATAGCTAGTTTAGCGAACTACCCGTATATCGAATGAACCTCAAGACGGCTGCGCAGGAGCGGCAGCGGCGGGTGCTGATCAAGGTCCTGTGGAGCCAAGCTGGAGGCCGTTAGGGTTGAAGGTTTTAGGTTTAGGGGTTCAGGGCTTAGGAGCTTGAGAGTTTAGGGGCTTTGGGCTCAGGGGTTTAGGGGTCCATGGGGTTAGGGGCTTAGGGCTTCGAGTGCAGGTTTTTGTTTCTCGGGTTTGGGCTGTTTGGGTCGATGATTCATGATCTTGAGTTTTGGTAGGGTTTAGGGCTTAAGGTTTGGGGTTGGTTCAGCTTTAATGTTTATAAAGGTTTGCGTAGAGTGTAGTTGTCATGACCCGTGCAGGGCAGTATGGGTGTTGCAATCGTTTTGTAGTGGAGTGTAACATTTTTGCTTCTTAGAGAACCTATCTCGAAATGCTCTGACAAGGACAGCTTGGTGTTGGTAGTAGATCACCAGTAACATGGTATGTGAAGGTGAGTTCCTGTACAAGAACCCAATATGTTTCATTGCTACGCAACAATCCCTGCTCGGGATTAGGAAAGAAAACGTCGGTATGGATCCAGCTTAAAGCATCCGCGCTTAGCCGGACATCTTGAAACTCCAAAACCCTACCTACAGTCTCCATTGTCGTTCCTTTTTTGGGTTACCTTATAGGATCCTTAATATATAATTGGTTAAACCAAAAAAAGGAACTACAATGGAGACTATAGGGAAAACCTGAACTGTGAAGTTCATCGGCAAGCAGGTTGCCTCCTGCTCTTTGCCATCTGGATGCTTCTGGAGTGGCGCATCTCGAAGCTGAGGGGAGCCGAAGCTTTGGATGTGGATGAGGCACAGACCTTCAACACTCCTATGTATACATATGTGTGCACATGTACATAAGTATTAATATACATATATGTATATATGTATGTATATGTTATATATGTATATAGAGAGAGATAGATTTGTGCATATATATATATATACACATGTGTGTGTACATGTAATTACGTGTTTGCATTCACATACACAAATATATACATACATACTTGCTTACTGACATACCTCCATGCATACATGCATACGCATCTGCCCCATGTGCATTCATGTGTGTCATACATACTTGCCTACTGACATACCTCCATTCATACATGCATACGTATCTCTGAGATGTTTTTGCGATGTAGAGCAATGTGGTACAGAGTTTTTTTGTTTTGGCTTCGTGGGGGTGTTGGTTATAGGGGTTGTCTTAAAATCATGGTTTCATGTTTTTTTCTTTCGTGTGAGTTTTTCTGACCTGCAAAAGGGGATCCCGAGGTAAGAACAGCCCCTCAAGGAACGGTGTGTTGATTTCTATTCCGCTGTTGGATTGTTATTCGTTCCGACCGCTGCTGCATCTTACCTGCTGTGGGTCGTGTTCGGCTGGCTCGGAAATATCACAGGCATCTAGGCGAAGATGCGGAGGCTTTTGCAGGGAACTAGACGTGATGCTCATGCTGATGGCATCATGGCAAGGTCAAAAAACTAGGACCCAGAGTAGGCCCTTATTCCCTTTTTTAGGGCTTAGGTTCCCTTATAACACCCTTTAAACCAAAAAAGGGCACCTCTAGAGCTTTCCTTTTGAACTATTCTCGCTGCCGGGAAGGTGATCGCCACACAAAAGTCACGTTTGCGGCAGACGGCGCGACGACAAGAGCTGCCGACCACGGAGGGCGAAGGCCTGATATTTGCCAAATTGCCAATACTATTCCTCGGGGTTCCTAAGTATGCGAACCGTTTTTAATGTTAGTTAACAACATCTAATCATGACGAGGAATAATGAAGAACCCATAGCAACAACCTTTAACAGCCCCTGTCTGTTACTGTCGAGGTCGGTGTTAAGTTTCAGGGTTCCTCAGGGCGCAAAATTCAGAAAAGCTTGGCCCGGGCTCCACTTTCACCAGCTAGTGTACCCTAGAACGTGATGCTTTCAAGAACCCTAGAAACCCTAGGGCCTAGGGTTTTGGGGTTCAGGGTCGAGGGTTTAGGGATCCTAAACCCTGCCCCTCCCCCCGCTCTGCTGAGTTCAGGTTGGGGTTCCATCCAGCTCGGTTGGGAAGAGCCTCTGGGAGAGCAATGGAGCTCGGCCAAAGTCTTGCCGACAGAAGAAGATGAGGATGCTTGAAGGCAGCATGGAGGATAGTGGCCTAAATCATTATCAATATTATGGTAGGGTTTTTTATTATAACTATAGTAGAATGGGCCCCGAAACCCTATTCTAAGTATTAAGGCCCCTGTAGTAGGATCCTCTAAACGCCTGAAGAGTAAGAATAGGTTTTGGTGCCTTTGCTTCGTACAGCAGTATACTTGTGTGGTATGGACAAAGCACAGGCTTGCTAGCTGTTCAGGCACTCATTGTAATCCGAGGACCAAGGATGTAGGCTGGAGGGTTATGGGTCCCAGATTTTGCGAAAGATTAGAGCCAGTGCAATTCCAGGCTGTCGACCCTGGTCCAAAGCCACGGAAGCAAGCTTGCGAAACCCTTTGCCCTGAACCCTGAGCCTTACAAGTCCTTACCCCAAACACCCAGCACTTTTCGTTTCGTGCAGGATTCATGACTGTGCAGCGTGTTGCACGCTTTCTTTTTCGCTGGAGTCTGTGGCTGTACTATGACACTTCTGAACATACTTCTAGGTAGTAGAGAAGAGTGAATCTAGTGTGTTTTCGTTGATTTTAAGATCGCAACTGGTCCTATTGCGTTGCTTATGCTTAGCCGTCACTGCCATCGTTATGACATGATTTGCATACTAGTATATTGCATGTTTGGTTTTGTCTATTCCCAGAGTTTTGCAGGGAATGCGGCACCAAGGGTTGTTGCGCCTCGAAGCGCACGGCTAGCGTCCTGGATGGGGTTTCTGCTTCGAAGTTTTGGGCTGGGGTAGGGGTCTGTGTTTTGTTGATTGTCTCGTGCCCTGCAATACCCTCCTGAAGGCATTGTACGTGTAGAATCTGCACACCCCTCACCCTATACCGCCCATTCGTGAAGACGAGGGTAGTTGATGTGACACACAGTGAAGAATGACACGCGCGACCATTACACATATTTGACAGTGACCTTGACCGCTGCGCCGGTCATTCATCTTATGTTTGTCAGGATCCGTGGTGTTTGTCTGATTATTGTTATTTCTGTTTTACTTGTAAGCAACTGGGACAGCCATTGCCCAAAGTCTCACGCGGTCTTGGGCCGGGATATCCTACATGCTGAACTGAGAGCACCTCTGTGCACATTTATTGTTTGCCAGACAAGAAGCCTGCTGCAAAAAGGCAGGAAAGGATTTGCCCCGGCCAAAGCGCAGGGTCCAGAGTCCATCGTTCAGTTACGTGCGAGAAGAAAACCGGGACGGACAAGGCTTTGCTAGTCGATCACTGCTCACCAAAGCCTGCCGGTCTGCTGATGGTAGATTTGGGGGTCGTAGCTTGCATGCGGGGTCTTCTACGATGCCAGAAGGAGCTAGCACAAAGCACCTCACCTGGTGTGAGCCTTGGTGCTGCGATTCATTCCGCGGTGGCTTTGTCGACCACTGTGAGTCTTAGTATGTGACATTATGCGAGCTTGCAGGTAGTTGTGTCTGGTTGTATATGTACATTGTACAATATACATACATCTATGTAACAGCATGTCGAATGTTTGGCATCCAGAAACCCTTGCAAGTGTTATGCAAGTAGCGCTGCTCTTCACAGGGATACGATCATCAGGGAGCCCTTGTCCTAGCTCTGTCTGCCCGTACCTTCTGCACAACGAAGCCAAGTCGAGGAAATCCATCGGAAGACTTCCGCAGCCTTGACTCATCTTTACTGGCCCAATACTTCCCAAAGGGTATTATTCTACATACTTTTGGGGTCCAGGTAGGGTATCGGGGTTCGCACTTGTCTTCGACATCAGGGCTTTCTGTAAGTCACCTATGATAGTACCCTCCGCGACTTGAGCACCTTATACAAGCTTTCTACATGATGCCTTCTATAACCTCGGAACTCCTATATCAACTCTTCAAAAGCCTATACATTGATTCTCGACCCGAAACCCCAAACCCCACAATTTTGTTGACATGAACACTCGCTAAGCCCCAATCCCCAAACCCGTAACCATAGTCCCTAAACCCCGAAACACAAAACCCCTATATCCTAAGCCCTAAACCATAACCTTAAATCGTAAACCCTAAACCCCCAAACGCCTAAGCTCCTAAACCAGCCTTGTCCTTTTTCACGGTTCCCCCAAACGAATAAACAGACCGGCTAGTAGACCTTCTGAAATAGTTCCTACTAAGGGATATTGGTATAGGGCCCTATAACTCGCCGAGGCAACGAGCCCCTCTTCGAATCCTTGGGAGCGCAGCTGCTTCGACTGCAGGAGGAGGCCGGGTGTTAGGGTTTAGGGTTCAGTGTTTAGGGTTTAGTGTTTAGGGGGTTCTTTTAGGGGTTTGGGGTTTGGGGTGATTTGCTTGAACCACCAGACTGGGATGTAGGGTTTAGGGGGTTAGGGTTTAGGCTTTAGGGCTTTTAGGGTTTAGAATCAGGGTGTAGTAGGTCGTTTTTTAGGGGTTTGGGGTTTGGGGTGAGTTGATTGAAGGGCTAATTCAGCAGGGGTTGTATACTATTGCCTAAAGGGTTCTTTTAAGGGGCATGTACTTCGTGGGTTACTATCAGGGTTCTTTACGGGTTTCGGATTTAGAGTTTTGGGTCGTTCCTGCCTCAAGGTTACTTGTGCATTCATGGCTTTAGGGTTTCGGGCTTGGGGTTTAGGCGGGTCATTTATGGCTTTAGGGTGCCGGCTTGCGCTTTGCGGCACCAATGCTGTGAGTGCTGTTAGGGTTTAGAGGTTTATGGTGCAGTTTCGAAGCATTTCGGAATTGGAGGGAGGTGTGCGTGGTTGGAGCCTTTCGGACAGGTAATTACTTGTGATGTCTTGGTGCTTGCGGAAGGGCGGGGCTGTAAGGTGGAGAGTTCTTGGCTTTGGGGGTTTCTTAAGGTGGGCATTTTGGGTGCCGGGTTCAAGGCATTTCTGAGTTTGCGCAGATTGGTTTGGGTTTCGAGCAAGCTGTGGGCTTCGAAGTGATGGTCTCGGTAGCCAATCCACAACTCTGCTGCATTTGCCGCTTTCCCTTCTTGGGTCCAAAAAGATCTGATGGACAATCGTGTCTATCGATTTCGAAGGACCGGAAACCTACCATGTAATACGAAAGTCCTAATCTGATATTACCTTCAAACGCCTTGTGTGTGTGTGTGTGTGTGTGCTGTCATCGTTTCATCCAAGCCAGCAACACGTGCAACTCAGAAATCCTAACCGCACTACTTGGAGGGTCGGGGGACTTAGTAAGTAGGTAGTAAGTAGACTTATAAGTACCTACAAGGGGCCCTAATTGGGGTTATGGTACGTGTAAGTCCCAAGAATAACCAGTTACTAAGTCCCCCGACCCTCCAAGTAGACACCCCTAACCTGAAACCCTACTTCCTGAGTCCGAGGCCCCAAAACCCCGAACCCTCAAACTCCTCAAGCCCTCAACCGCTGGAGATATCGGTTTGACTAACTACAGATATTGCGCCCCTATAGAATGTAGTGTTTCTATATGTATATCTTAAACGACTATAGCGTGTTTTTTTCGAGGGCTTTCGAAGAACCATTAGAGCAGAAACCCTACGTGGATGTTCATGGGTATTTATGAGTGGGGTTGTAAGTCCCCTTACTATGGGTTATGGTTCCTCTACTTCTGACTTAATTACAACTACCCATGAACCTCCAAGTAAGCCCCAAACCCTAAACCCTTATAGAATGCCTTTAGAGGGATCCTTACAAGCAGCCCTTAGAGTTTACCCATGAAACCCAAGTACTCAGCCTGGCCTCCAGGAGCCTTCCGCAGTGTCAGAAGAGCCTCTGCCGACTTAGTTCTTGAAGGTTTTGCGGTTTTGGGGGTTTCGGGGTGTTTTGGGGTTTGGCGTAGGGCTACTTTAAGGGATCTTTATGGAGGGTTCCTGTAAGGGGTCTACAAGGAATATAGGGTTTAGGGTTTCGGGGTTTTGGGGTTTTAGGGTTTAGGGTTTTTGGGTGTTAAGGGTTTTGGGGTTTTTGAAGCTTTAGCGTTTAGGGTTTTGGGATTTGGGTTTTTTTGGGTTTGGGGTTGGGGTTTCGGGGGTTGGGGTTGTGGGGTTTTGGGGTTTGGGGTTTAGGTTTGGAGGGGTAGGGTTCCGTCAACTCTCTGCACCGGGATCTTTGAAGGTTCTGTAAGAGATTTGTGGGGGAAAAGGGACCTTAGCACATGCAAGTAGAAGAGGGTCTCGGACCACATTTAGAAACACACACACACACACAGAGAGACGCATAAATACACAGACATATATATATATATATATATTTATGTTTATGTTTATATGTTTATACACATAGGCACATACACAGAGGCAGAGAGAGAGAGAGAGAGAGAGAGATAAAGAGAGAAAGAGAGAGAGAGGGAGGGAGAGAGAGAGAGAGATAGATCCTTCATGGTATTGCACCCTATATTGAGTCGCTATTATCATGGGACTGCTGCTGATGGAGAGTGCGGTCCGAAGACGTATTGCGAATACTTTCACCACCAACACTAAACGCTAAGCCGGACAACAGTTGATCCCTTGCATTGGATTCCTGCCTTGATTCCGAAGTGCATCTCAATTTGAAGTCGGCCTGAGAGTAGAGCGCAGTGTTTGCGTTGAAGTCTGGCGAGTGGTCAGCCGGTTGTTTGTGCTGAGCCATACGTCCGCTCACCGATGCGGCCCCCAAAGACTGCGCCTTGAAGTACAGCAACTTTGCTGCCCAATCAAATCGGCCCGTTTCAGCTTGAACCCCGGTTGCGCAACCCCAGAAAGCTCACAAGCTTGAGCCCCTCACACCCACAGCCTTGAACCTCAAGCCCTTATCTGAGGCCTCGAAAAGCTTACAGATCAAGCCATGAATCCGAAACCTCATATCCTAAACCTGATGCTTAGGACCCACAGCCCGAAATCTTCAGTTTCAAGTTGCCTTAGGTCCTCTTTCACCTTTTGACAAAAGCCCTGGTCCCTGAGACCCAGGCCATGCACGTGGCCGTCAGCGCCCACGAAACGCTTACTCTCACGAGCTTGCCAGCGTGACTTGGCTCAGGGTGTCAGCGCTGTGTTTGAAGGGTTTAGGGACGTCAAACTATCGTCTGCAAACAATCCTGAGCCCTAGCGCCGGGCTCCAGGCACCCGCAGCTCCAGTTTCAGGTTTCAGCTTCATACCATGAAACCCTGTATACCTTCGCTCGCTTCTATAGGTAGGGACAGTGGCTTCTCAAATTCCTGAACCTCAAACCCTAAACCCAACGGTATAAGGATCGTAGGTCCCTGAAAACACGGAGGGCTCAGAGCCCTGTAACCCTATGAGGCCCCAAACCCTAAACCCTAAACCCAAACTTGCAGACGGAAAAAGGAGCAAAAAACAAATTAAAGCCCTTTAAGGAACCCTTTAGGGATCCCTTTTTGGGTAGTACAGTCCCTACAAAATCCCTTAAACCCTGTCCAAGGTATGTGCTGGTAGTGCCAGGCGGTGCGAGTCAGTACAGTCAACACACTTTAAAAAAGAACCTAAACCCCTTAACCCAAATCCTGAATCCCAAGACCTTGACCCTAAACCCTAAGATGGAGCGGAGAAAGAGTCATTACACATTAAAAAAATCTTTAAGCCCTGAGCCTAAACAGGCTGTTAGGCGATTTTGAGATTGCAAAGGTACTCCGGTTTGCGGGCAGCAGCCCAGCGAAGCCAAAGTGGTCTCAAGGCGCCGGAGAGCGCAGGTAAAGGATTAGTATGTTTCTGGTTTAGGGTTTAGAGAAGGGTATTTCCTTTAGGATTCGGGGATGAACGAAGGCTCAGGGCCTAGGTTTCGGAGTTCTGAGATTTTGCTTCACGGCTTGGGGCTTTGGATTGCAATCTCTCGGATCGTCAATGGGCATCCATGTGCCACCTGAACGGCCATCTCTTTTGTTCGTCATCGGCGCCTCGTCAGTATATGGCACGGTCCTGAACGATGATGAAGTGATTCCCCTAACCATCACGGGTCTGCGACTTATGTACGGATCCCGGAGGAGGTCCCCTCCACAGTTCGGGTGCCCTTGGATCAAAGCCCCCGGGCTACACTCTGAGTGTTGCAGCCCTGTAGTGCATGTATAGGTGGGTTGCATGTACTTTCAAACATTTGTCGTGCAGCTAAATAAGAAAATGCAGGTACGTATTCCGTAGATTCAGTCGAAACCAAGCAAGAAACGAATTCATAAGATTGGTCCGTGCTCACATGCATGCATTCTTACGTACCCGCTTGCATCTGTACATGGATGCCTGCATCGATGCACGGATGTATGGGTATATATATATATACACATATGTATATACATATATATATATATGTATATGTATGTAGATATGTATGTATGTACTGCGTCCTCTTACCTCAGGCAGACGAGCAGCCAGAGCCTCAGACAATTGAGTCCAAGCCCGAAGGGTCCAAGTAATAACAATAATAAGAATAAGTAGTTATTGTTGTATAGTATTAGTCATGAACAGTAGTAGTAATAATAGTGATTCTCAGTTTCGAAGTTTGAGCAAAACAGTTCACCGAGGACTGCGGATGAAGACGTCCAGGAGGAGGCTGCCGTGGAGCTTTCAAGCGCAGGGCCATGCTCACGCCATGCTACTATAGTGACCTATAAATGATTGCCAATACTATTTTGGGGGTTCGCTATTATAATTATGGTATAGTGGGCCCCAAAGCCCTATTGTAACTACTAAGGCCCCTATGCTGTCAAGCAGGAGAAGGAGAAGAAGCTGACGTCAGAAGGAGAGTTGGCGCAGGCACCGCAGCAGCTCGTCACCAGCTTCCGTTTCGCTTAACACTAGTGGACCCGAATATAGTACCCTGAATAGCAGTATCCTCATTACAAGGACCCCGAAACAAGGTATCCCTAGTTTCCGGAAACTCCCAGACTTCGTGCAGGTGCTGCAAATCCTTTCCGAGATAGTAACCTCGGAAGAGCAGCTGAAGGTCGACCGTGGCATGTTCCAGTGAATGACATCTGGGAGTTTCCGAAAAAATGAGGGGTGCCTTATTTTGGAGTCCTTATAATAGGGATCCTACTGTTTAGGGTATTAAATTAGGGTCCCCTGTTTTCGGAAACTCCGATCTTTCGCGAAGCTGGTAGATGCGCTATCTCCCCGAAATGGATGCACAAGCATTCCTTGTTTGCAAAGCTGTCAAGCCTATCTTAAATCATAATAGGAACCCAAAATTCAGGTATATTCCTTAATTACTTCAAGGCTCATGGATAGTTATAAGTAGAGTTTTTAGTTGGGTAACTATGATAACCCCATATTAGGGGACTTATAACCCCACTCATAACTACCCATGAACCTCCAAGTAGGCCCTAAACCCTATACCCTTATGTACGTAGGACCTTTAGGTCCTATTTGGCGTAGGGCTTGCTCTGTGTCTTAATATATACTGTGTATATACGCAATTAAAAATTTAAAGAATTTAAAAAATTTAAAGGGGGTAAATCCTTTAAATTTTGAAATCGTCCGGAATTAAAAATTTAAAGAATTTATAAAATTTAAAGGGGGTAAATCCTTTAAATTCTGAAATCGTCCGGAATTAAAAATTTAAAGAATTTTTAAAAAAAATAAAGGGTGTAAATCCTTTAAATTCTTCAAATTTTGAAATCGTCCGGAATTAAAAATTCAAAGAATTTAAAGAATTTAAAGAATTTTAAAAATTTAAATGTCCAGCTCCAGCTCCAGCCCCAGCCCCCCAGCCTTCGACCCCAGCCCACAGGATTAAATTTTTTAAATTCTTTAAATTCTTTAAATTCTGAAATCGTCCGGAATTAAAAATTTAAAGAATTTAAAAAATTTAAAGGGTGTAAATCCTTTAAATTCTGAAATCGTCCGGAATTAAAAACTTAAAGAATTTATAAAATTTAAAGGGGGTAAATCCTTTAAATTCTGAAATCGTCCGGAATTAAAAATTTAAAGAATTTAAAAAATTCAAAGGGGGTAAATCCTTTAAATTCTGAAATCGTCCGGAATTAAAAATTTAAAGAATTTAAAAATTTAAAGGGGGTAAATCCTTTAAATTCTTTTAATTTTGAAATCGTCCGGAATTAAAAATTTAAAGAATTTAAAGAATTTAAAGAATTTTAAAAATTTAAATGTCCAGCTCCGGCTCCAGCCCCAGCCCCCCAGCCTTTGACCCCAGCCCACGAAATTAAATTTTTAAAATTCTTTAAATTCTTTAAATTCTGAAATTGTCCGGAATTAAAAATTTAAAGAATTTAAAAAATTTAAAGGAGGTAAATCCTTTAAATTCTGAAATCGTCCGGAATTAAAAATTTAAAGAATTTAAAAAATTTAAAGGAGGTAAATCCTTTAAATTCTTTAAATTCTGAAATCGTCCGGATTTCAAAATTTAAAGAATTTACAGAATTTAAAGAATTTTAAAAATTTAAATGTCCAGCTCCAGCTCCAGCCCCAGCCCCCCAGCCTTCGACCCCAGCCCACGGGATTAAATTTTTTAAATTCTTTAAATTCTTTAAATATTGAAATCGTCCGGAATTAAAAATTTAAAGAATTTAAAAAAAATTAAAGTGGGTAAATCCTTTAAATTCTGAAATCGTCCGGAATTAAAAATTTAAAGAATTTAAAAAAAAATAAAGGGTGTAAATCCTTTAAATTCTGAAATCGTCCGGAATTAAAAATATAAAGAATCTAAAAAATTTAAAGGGGGTAAATCCTTTAAATTCTTTAAATGTTGAAATCGTCCGGAATTAAAAATTCAAAGAATTTAAAGAATTTAAAGAATTTTAAAAATTTAAATGTCCAGCTCCAGCTCCAGCCCCAGCCCCCCAGCCTTCGACCCCAGCCCACGGGATTAAATTTTTTAAATTCTTTAAATTCTTTAAATATTGAAATCGTCCGGAATTAAAAATTTAAAGAATTTAAAAAAAATTAAAGTGGGTAAATCCTTTAAATTCTGAAATCGTCCGGAATTAAAAATTTAAAGAATTTAAAAAAAATTAAAGTGGGTAAATCCTTTAAATTCTGAAATCGTCCGGAATTAAAAATTTAAAGAATTTAAAAAAAAATAAAGGGTGTAAATCCTTTAAATTCTGAAATCGTCCGGAATTAAAAATATAAAGAATCTAAAAAATTTAAAGGGGGTAAATCCTTTAAATTCTTTAAATGTTGAAATCGTCCGGAATTAAAAATTCAAAGAATTTAAAGAATTTAAAGAATTTTAAAAATTTAAATGTCCAGCTCCAGCTCCAGCCCCAGCCCCCCAGCCTTCGACCCCAGCCCACGGGATTAAATTTTTTAAATTCTTTAAATTCTTTAAATATTGAAATCGTCCGGAATTAAAAATTTAAAGAATTTAAAAAAAATTAAAGTGGGTAAATCCTTTAAATTCTGAAATCGTCCGGAATTAAAAATTTAAAGAATTTAAAAAATTTAGAGGGTGTAAATCCTTTAAATTCTTTAAATTTTGAAATCGTCCGGAATTAAAAATTTAAAGAATTTAAAGAATTTTAAAAATTTAAATCTTCAGCTCCAGCCCCAGCCCCCCATCCGACCCAGCCCCAGCCCCCCGACCCCAGCCCCAGCCCCCCCAGCCCCACAGCCCCCAGCCCCTAGGCCCACCCAGTCCCAGCCCCAGCCCCACCCGCGCCAGCTCCCGCCCTAGATGCTTCCCAGCCCCCCACCCCCCAAGGCCCCCCAGCCTCAGCCCTAGCCCCTAGGCCCCCAGCCCGCACCGCAGCTCCAGCCGCCCCCACCCTCCACCCCAACCAAGCTTAGCAGCCCTACCCAACCCCAGCCCAAGCCCGAGGGAGGGCCCCAGCCCCCGGCGACACCCCTTGCGATTTGATTTTGGAACCTATTGGTTGAAAAAACCTTTAGGCTAGTAATGGAGTTCTTACAAAACCTTAGTTAGGGGGACACCCCTTGCGATTCGTGTTTTTGAAACATATTTATTACAAAAACCCTTAGGGTGACACCCCTTGCGATCCATGGTTTTCGGATCTGAGTTACAGGTGTTTTGCTGGACCACAGGTCACTTCCGCCAGATTTTGCCAGCAGATGTGTGAAATCCCTAGCCCTTGTTTTCATGCGGTATTTACAGGTGTTTTGCTGGACCACAGGTCACTTCCGCCAGACTTTGCCAGCAGATGTGTAAAATCCCTAGCCCTTGTTTTCATGCGGTATTTACAGGTGTTTTGCTGGACCACAGGTCACTTCCGCCAGATTTTGCCAGCAGATGTGTGAAATCCGTAGCCCTTGTTTTCATGCGGTATTTACAGGTGTTTTGCTGGACCACAGGTCACTTCCGCCAGATTTTGCCAGCAGATGTGTGAAATCCCTACCCCTTGTTTTCACGCCGTATTTACAGGTGTTTTGCTGGACCACAGGTCACTTCCGCCAGACTTTGCCAGCAGATGTGTGAAATCCCTGGCCCTTGTTTTAATTCGGTATTTACAGGACCACAGGTCACTTCCGCCAGATTTTGCCAGCAGATGTGTGAAATCCCTAGCCCCTGCTTTAGCGCAGTATTTACAGGTGTTTTGCTGGACCACAGGTCACTTCCGCCAGATTTTGCCAGCAGATGTGTGAAATCCCTAGCCCTTGTTTTCACGCGGTATTTACAGGTGTTTTGCTGGACCACAGGTCACTTCCGCCAGGTTTTGCCAGCAGATGTGTGAAATCCCTAGCCCTTGTTTTCATGCGGTATTTACAGGTGTTTTGCTGGACCACAGGTCACTTCCGCCAGATTTTGCCAGCAGATGTGTGAAATCCCTGGCCCTTGTTCTCGCGCGATATTTACATGCTTTCTGCTCGGTCGCGGCTCGGGCAGGGAAGGCTGGGCGTGCGGAAGCAGGCAGCCGTGCCCACCCACCCCGTCCCATCCCACCACACACCTCACTCCACCCCTCCCTCTTTATCATCCACCTCATCATCTCCACTATCTTCCTCCTCCTCATCCCTCGTCCTCCTCCCATACCCCTCCCTCCCTCTCCCTATCCCTCCCACTACCCCCTCCCCTCACCTTCCTCACTCTCCCCCACCTCCACTCCCTCTACCTCTCCTCTTCCCCTTTCTCTCTCCTGGAATCTCCACCCTCCCCCACCCTCCCTTCTCTCCTTCTTAAATATCCCCCTAAGGTTTAGTGAAAACTCAGATCCCAAAACCACAGATCTTAAGGGGTGTCCCCCTAAAGCTTTTCATGACAAGTAAGTGCAAAAAACACAAATCGCAAGGGGTGTCCCCCTTAAGGTTTTGTGAAGATTCAAATCCCAAAACCACAGATCTTAAGGGGTGTCCCCTAAAGGTTTTCATGACAAGTAAGTTCAAAAATCACAAATCGCAAGGGGTGTCGCCCTAATATTTTGTAAGAACTCAGATCCCAAAATCACAGATCGCACGGGGTGTGCCCCTCTCAGGCTTTGTAAGAACTCAGATCCAAAAATCACACATCGCAAGGAGCGTCCCCCTAAAGGCGTTTGTAAATGATCCACCCTGTCCCTCTCACTTGCCTCCTACCTCCCCCACTCCTAACTCATTCTTTCCCTTCCCATCTCATGTCTCCTCACCTCCCATCACTTTTTCTCCCATCCACTCATCTTCTTATCATCTTCTTATCACCTTCATCACTTTTTAATTTGTCTTATGGGGTCCCATATAGAAAGCTTCATAGATATATAAACCTTACAGATCCTAGAGATAAAGAACTTGTAGGAACCGCTTATGTTTCCCACAAATGGAGTCCTTTATAAAAAATCTTTGAAAGATCGATTATATGGAGCCCTCATACACAGTCTTTATACACTCCTTATAGAAATCTATAGATCCTTTGTACAGATCCCTGATATGGAACCCTTTGTAGAAAACCCTTAGACTATACAATCCAAAGAACGCACCCACCCTCCACTCCCTCTACCTCTCCACCCATCTCCCCACTCCCTCCTCTTCCCCTCCCTTTGTCCACCCGCCCTCCCC